ATTTCCAATCTCATTCTCCCTTCCTTCCTTCTCCTCGACTCCTCCCGCGCAGCCTCTTTCTCTCTTAGCTCATTACTCCCTTCCTAATTCACAAAACTAACTTCGCCCTTGGATTCGCCCCACCTCAATACCCCTACTTGACATCTTTCCTCGTCCGATTTCATGAAGAACTAGAAAAGTTTTTCCACTTCCCCCCAAAGTCACCTCCTCGATATCTCCACACAACTTTTCTCTTTTAACTTTTCCCCACAACTCTAACTTCTAATACTAATACTATCACTAAACTTGTATGACCTTGAAAACGCTTTGTTTCACCCTTCCCTGCTCGTTTTCATCAAGAAACGAGTGTTATTCTTCTTCCTCATCGCCTCCATCGCCTTCAACTCCTTTCTTCTTATTTCCTCTCACGTTATTGACTCATCCCCTTCCTCTAGCGTACATTCTCATTGCGGCCCTCTACTGAAGTTCACGTATCACAAAAAAGGCAAAAAAGGTATGTCGGATTTACGCATGTCATCTCTGCACAGGGGCCATGCTAGTCTTCACAGTATCGTTCTAATTCTAATGGATGTCCCGAAGGACCAAAGCGGAGTGGCGGCCTTGAGATATCGCCATCGGACCGATCGTCCCAAAGTAACTCAGAATCGTAATATTTTTACTCATCTGCTTTCGGTGGAGTTCAAACACAGGTTTGTATTTCAATAGTTCAAAGGTGTACCAGCTGAGTTAGGCATGTCATTTGGTCTCCCTGGCGAGGAACAAAACCAGGGGAGCCAATCCACACCCCGGTTCTATCGGACTTACTCTACTTTGCTCTTGTTGTTGTATTGTAGATTCGGACATGGGTCTTCCGCGTCCAAACTGTGTATCATACTTAATGGGCACAACGCAAAGAGAATAACAAACGACTTTTGTTTCGGACTCAACCCCAAAAAGACAGAACCGAAAAAAAAAACAACCATCTGGCTATAGACCCTCGACTCTACGGTAGAAAGTCCTTACAGAGGTACCCCTTTGGCAAATGGTTGAAAGATCGGCCCCTTCCCTGACCAGTTCGGCAATGATATTGCTTTCCCCCACGCTAAGCCCAGTTAATTGAACTCGATCCCAATATGAAATCAAACGAAAAAAAATTGTCAAAAATCATAAATAACTTGAAAAATAATTAACAATATAAAATAAAAGACTGGATTTTACAGGATTGCAACTTTACAATCTCAAGTGCACACCACCTCCTATTTAACTTGATTTAAGTGAGGCGCATACCGATCATACACCTTTTTTGTGTGGCTTACCGGGGTGTCGCGACCAAGCCGACAAATAACGGTTAGTCTCAAACTCATAGATCATGCGCCACATCGTAGATGTCTCTGCCCAACGACCGACGCCAAGCCGAGCCATACGTCACGGCAACCTGTCGTGGCGGCAGCCGGTTCAGGTGCTAATCATGCTCGCAACACATCTAACCAACATAAATTATCGTGCATACGCTTGTTGCATGGACTCAGACACTAGCTCGCCGACCACTAAGGCCGACAACTATTTGACTACCTATTGCATGACACAATAATGTGTAGTAACACACCCCATACTCACCCTCTTTCTGCTAAGGCCGAGATCGTCGAGGCACGCGTTCAGACGAAACCTGACGCACCGTTCAACCATTGCATCATCACGACCTCCTCCTATGCGACCTGCAACAAACATGGCAAATACCCTTGTAAGGGTGTTTGTCACGACAACACTCCCCTAGACCACCCACAACGCCCCCACATGCCAAAACCGTCACAAACCCGCCCCTCCTAACATCTTCACAACCCTTGTACGAACGCGTCAAATGCATTCAGGGCCGTTCATTGAACACACATTCAACACATTCAATAGTTGAACGCAAAATGCAAGTTTCATGAACGCGCAACAATACAGAGGGAAGTGTTGGGGATTTGGGCTACAATTGTTTTGTCTCGTGTAGATCTACACTGATGCTGAACATTACAAATCGATTGTTTATGGAGATTCCTCATCGCCTCCTACTAGCGGTAGAGGAGGATGGCGACGATAATAACAAGGATGATTGGTCAGATGATCACAACAATGGATTTCACGAGACAAATTGGATTGAGGCATGGTTCATAGATGTTAATACAACAGTTGGTCCTCTTGCTCCCATACGAAAGAGAGAAGATCAATGGTGTGTTGTGACCATCGTGAGTTGTTTCATTGATGTTAGTTGTAAACGAGTGACTCACGTGTTGAATTCCAAATGGGGAGGCTAGTTTAGTGGACGACATTCTTAACCTTACCTACCAGTTTAATAGCAATAACAAAGGTTTCTTTTACTCCATATAATGGTTAGTTGGTGTTTTTTTCTCCATTAGGGGATGTTGGTGAGTAGGTTAAGGTAATGTGTGAATAGAGGGAACTGATTCCTGTTGGGTCTGATACAATTTTGCAACTATAAAATTGAGAGGGTGAAGCAGGCATTACAAAAAAACAGGTAATTATATAAATTAACGTGGCATCTCATACAGTTTTGCAACAATAAAATTGAGAGGGTGAAGCAGGCATAACAAAAAAACAGATAATTGTGTAAGTTAAAAAATCTACGAGTCAGATGTCACGTTGAGATCATCAAATTCAACCAACACTCTTTGAAGGTGAGCTCTACTACGATTCATTGTCGGGAAGTATAACTTAATAAGTGGCGCATGAGCGATGAGGAAAAAAAAAAAAAGTTGGAGTATAAAAACGTGGAGTATTCCATAGGATGCAAATGGGTTAATGGGAAGGGAGAAAAAAATGGAAGAGGGTAAGAGTGGGACTGGAGGACCTCATTTTTGGGAAAGGTTGATAAAAAAATGTGCAGAAGAGATTGGAGAACCCTGTGGATAGGCTAGGGAGTAGGTAAGGGGATAATGAAACATTGGGTGAAGGAGGAAAAACTATAAAAGTTTGTGTATCATCTTTGGTTGGATTGTGAGTACCATGATTCCGTTGCAGCTCAAACCCTCCTCTCACATAATCATATTGACAAATTTAAATGAATGACTTTTGACATGCGTAAAGAATTTATCAAAAGATATACAGCGGACTTTTACTCCGTATCTCACTTTTTTTTACAATTGTTAGATTAGGGTGGTGACAAGCGCATAGTTTTTTTCTTATTTTCCTTCTAAAGGAAGCAATTTCATTCAAAGTGATTCTTAAAATGTATCCTTACTTGGTTTTTACTAGGTCAAGATTGCTACAGGTACAGAGGATGATAACTCTATTTTATAAATGTGTTTTAACAATGGTTTTATGACATACCTCCTCACTTAACTTTTTGCCCATTGCGGCTAATTACAACTTTTTTATAGTATTTTTATTTTTATATAAGTATACAAAAATACATGCTTATATAAATCTTCAAATAGAGTTGTCCGGTAAACTGTAGGCGGAGAGGGAGAAAAGGACAACAAACGAGAGGTTGTGACAAACTGTTTCTTCGGAGTTTCACCGATTCATCAGGAGGCTGAACCCATACACATTATATGATTTAAGAACAACTTTTGAAGGTCATATAAGTATCCTATAAAAGTGAGACCCTCCCTACTTAAATGTGATTACTCTAATCTATTCATGAGGACGTGTACCTATTGGAAACCGGGTCTAACCTCCTATTAACAAAATTAGAGTACAAGTGCATCAATAATACAATTTGCTGGGTAATTAATTATTTATCAGACAGTAAGTTTGAACCTTAAAAACATATTTATACTTCATGACATCACTGCCCCACATCTCAATAGTGTCTCAATCTCTTATACCTTTCCCCATCAAGTAGCCAAGATTTCCTGATGCTCCAACTCATGAGGACACTCCTCCCCCACCACAACCACACCCTCTCATGTCACCTCCCCTTTGTGACGTTCATGAATGTTGAAGACGTACACCCTGTAAAACCGAGGGGCGGCTCACAAAGCCACCCGCATGAAAGGTCTCTCTTTTTTTCCTACTTGCGCAAGGGATATATTATATTAATCTACCTTGTATCATTCCAGTTTTGCCGTTCCTGATGTTGATGAATGTCAAAGACAAAGATTAACAAAACCGAAACCGGGCAGTTAAGCGGTTGACGATGGGTTACTTTCACCTATCCTCCACCACCCTCAACCGCCCGTCGGCCACCACTACATCTCGTGCTGCTATGCACTCTCACCAAATTCCGTAAGGTCACTTCCATCTCGTCAAGGCGACGCAAGGTGTGTGGGGCCCCGCTTCCCCAGACTACCCCGACCGCATCCTCTCAAATCATGAATGTCCGGGGGATATGAAACGGGTGGGGGACTCAGAAATCCCCTCCACGGACCTTTCTTTTGCTACCGGGGTTGTCTGCTCTGTGTTGAATCAATTTCCCGTGTCCGTTGCGACCGCCCAACGCCCTCTTCCTTCCCGGGGCAAGGTCCGACTTGCGGAAATCAGGAGATACCGCCCGTTGATCTCTGCTATCTACGGTCAGTATCTCTTAAATTCGTGCAAATGGGACCTAGCCCCCGGACGTCGCCTCCACCGTCCCCCACTCCTCTGCGTCTTCACTGGTACCGGAGTCAAGGTCACAACATTACGGGCTGCGACTCCTGGGAGCCCGCGCCCTCGCGGTCTGTCTGTCACGCACGAGAATCTTGGGGTGTCCCGCTCGTTCTTGCTCCAGGCCTCGCTGCGTCAGTCACCAAATGCGCAAAGGCAAAAATTATGGCGGCGTATCTTTCCATGTTCTAGCGGAAGATTCGTTCTCATTTTGCACGTTTGTTTGGTGAGTGGTGGGGCGCCAAGGCCCACAGCGCTTCTCCGTGACGCCATGCTTCGCCCTCAGCACAGTTGAGCGGGCGCAGATCTGTTGTTTGGCACCGTTTCCGCTTTTGCTCCGGATCCAGACAGACAGATGAATAGCGGTCTCCTGACTGAACGAAATCGAGGGCACGATTCGCTAAACGACAAATGGGAGCGGAGACATGCGGTCATGGAGAGCCGCCGGGCGCGGCTCGCTTTACATCGTCACTGGCAGTGGCAGCTGAAAAGAGTCACCCAAGCTGAGTCAGCTCTCGTTCCAAAGTCCTAACTACGCTTTTGGCGGGAGGATTGCGTTTCTTGGCGCCAGACCTTCCCAAAAAAGTCCCAACTCATTTTGAACAGACGGCGGCAGTGTGGCGTGTGGCGAATTGTGATTGGAAGAGCGGGAGAGACGGAGAGGGGGAATTGCCGTCAGTTGTCGTGAGCGGGCGATCTGCTGATACCAGTTGGGCCAATTTAGGGGGTCGCTGCACTACTCTCGACATGCACAAAAGACAAAAATCATGGGGGCGTATCTCGCCATGTTTGTAGCGAAGATTCACTCTCGTTTTGCACATTTCGAGAGTAGTGCAGCGAGGCCCTTACTGTAGTATTCGTCCGTCACCGTCAATTTGTGGCCTGCGCCACACCACTTCCCAGTTCTAGGAAAAACAAAGTTCGCCGGGGTGGCAAAGGAGGAGGAGGAGGAGGATCCACTCCCGGCAGTCAGCTCAGCAACTATTCAGTTCAGTAATTCATCAGCAGTGATCCTCCTCCCGCTCAGTCAGCAATTCAGTAATTCATCAGCACAGCAGTGATCTTCCCGCTCAGTCATCAATTTCAGTAATTCATCGGCAGCGGTGGTGCTTGTTGTGCTCTTGGCTTGGCTGGCCGGCATTAGTCACTCTACTTGGTTGTTACGGTAGTGTTTAATCGCTCGGTGTCCTAACCCGCTTCCACACACATCTTACAACTCTCTCCTAGATCGCTGCCGTTGCCCGCCCTTTCCCGGCCTTCCGCACTTCCCTACCTTCCCTACACATGCTGCAGCTCTCTGGTAGATCGTTGCCTCTGCCTGCCTCTCATTTCCTCCGCCTCCGCCTTCGCCTCAGCCAAGTTCGTAAGCCACTCGATCTGCGTGTAAGCTTTCCCCTCCTCACCACCCACCCGCCCGCCCTTTTTATGGGGGCTTCCCTTCTTTCTTCTTTTCATCCCTGTGTCCTCCTCGGCCTGGTCTCTCCCTCCTCCCTAGTTTCTCTGTCCTCTTTCCTAGTCATCGTGCGTCTTTTGTGTTCTGCTCGTCGTGACCTCGTCGAGTATCTTGGTTTTATGGTATAGGTATGCTATATGAGCTTGCTTGCTTCCAGTCCCTTTCTCCTCAAATCTCTCTCTCCGAGATTCCTCAATCTGTCTGTGTGTGTGTGTGTGTGTGTGTGTGTGTGTGTGTGTGTGTGTGTGTGTGAGAGAGAGAGAGAGAGAGAGAGAGAGAGAGAGAGAGAGAGAGAGAGAGAGAGAGAGA